CGCGTGCGCGCACACACACACACACACACACACACACACACCAAACAAACAAACATAAACCAAAGTCTTTTAAAAAATATAATCCCTCCTCCTCCTTTCCTAATACTTATTCTAACTTTCAAGATTTTGTTATGGGCATCTTCTAAAAAGTGTAAGGATGAAATGTGCAGCAAGCATATGTGCTAGACTATCTGTGAGTTTGTATAAATGTCTTTGTTTCCATGGAAAGACAATAAGGATCCTGTGGCAGTGAATGTTTACTAACTAAGCATCTCGCAGAGAAAGGAGAAATCCCATGGACTCAAGCTTATCTTCCTCAGGAAGCACCATTCTCTAAGGGGATGCTCTAGATTTGCTCACGCATCTAATGTTCCTTTGCAGCTAGGTGGCTCAGACTGATTTCAAATCCTTACTCAGACATTTACTAGCTGTGTGACTCTGGGCAATTCACTCGACCTCTCTGAGCTTCAGTTTCCTCCCCTGTAAAATGTGGATAATAATAGCACCTTCCTTTCAGGATGGTTGTGACATCAAATTAAGAATATAGATATAGATATAGACATAGACAGAGAGATAGCTTTGTAAACCCTAAAGAAATATATAAATGCTAGCCACTATTATCACTATTAAGTCAGATCATTTCAACCCAGAAGGTAAAGATTTACCGTCCTTCCAAAGTGCAGCAGAGACAGTATGAAGTAGAAGGAGTACTAGTCTAGGTGTCAGAAGACTTGGCTCTGATACTTTCTAGCCACATGACTTTGCACGTGAAACCCAGAAACTTGCATTCAAAAACTTCAATGATTAGGAGTCATCATCCATAGAAGCTCAAAAACCTTCCCAGAGTAGATCAAAATCATCATCATCATAATTCCAGAAAGAAATTCAGCCAGTATCTCCTGTTTTTCTTTCTTCCCTCTACCTCTGGAGAAACAAACAAACCAACAAAGTGTAGATTATCTGGAAGTCCACTGAACAGATGTCTCATTGCCCTTGGAAAAGCCCATCCCTAAATTGATATAAATATATAAGAACAAGAGCCATTCCCCTATTGGTAAGTAGTTAAAGACCATGAACAAGTAGTTTTCAAAAGAAGAAATGCAAGTTATCAACAATCAGATGAAAGAGGCTCCAAATCACTAAGAATGATAGATTCAAATTAAAAGTCTGAGTTTTCACTTCATACTCATCTGATTGGCAAAGCTAACAGAAGAATTAAAAGATAAATGCTGGAGTGCCTGTAGGAAAACTGGCACACTGGTGAGCTGTTGGCAAAGCTGTGAATTAGTAATGATTTGGAAATGTAATTTAGAATTATACCAGAAAAGACATTAAACTGCATCCCCTTTGACCCAGGCCTAGCACTATGAGGCCTATACCTCAAGAAAGTCAAAGAAAGAGGGAAAGATCTTACATATATAAAATTGCAGCACTTTTTGTAGTAGCAAAGAACTAGAAAGTAGGGGCTCATTGACTGGAAAATGGCCAAATAAAATGTGGCATGGGAATGTAATGGAAATGTAAGAAATAAAAAACATGAAGAATTCAAAGAAGCTTGGGAAGATTAGTATTAGATGAAACAGAACCAAGTAAGCAGAGCTAGAACAATGCAGGATGATCACATGCCATCCATCGTGCTAAGTTCTGGGAATACAATGACAACAAAAATATTTTTTTTAAAAAGGGAAAGAAAAGATAGTCCCCGCTCTCAAGGAATCCCCATTGTAAGGGGAAAAACAATATCCATGGGGGAATGGTGGCCAGAGAGAGAGAGACTTCTACAGAGAAATACTGGGATGCTGAATGGAGTCATAAGGAAGTAGATTGACACATCGCCTCTTGGAGCAAGGACAGAGCTAATTCGATCATCATTCTAAAACCAAAAAAGGCAATGAGGATACTGCAGTCAAAAGTGACAAGGGAATTATAAAAGGAAAACAAGAGAAACCTGACCAATGCAGTCACCAATCATGATTTCAGGGAACTAACGTTAAAAGCATTTCTCCTATCTCTAAGCAGATAGGAGTTGGACAAGAGGTTAAGAATGAGGGATGCATTTTTGGACATGGCCTATGTTCTGTTTCCTTAAATTTACTATATTTCCTGATTGGGAAGAAGGGTTCTACTACCAGGTCAGGAATTATTAGTGAGTGATAACAAGACTTTTCTTTTAAACAGCACCAATGAAGCATTTTTGAAAAAGAAAGAAAAAGCCCATCCTTCCTATCACTTGAAAAGAACAGATTCCCTAAACCCGTCCCTCCCCATTCCTTCTCTGTTAGCTAGCCCTAGCACAGATTTGTGAATTTTGAAAGATGACAGATAAACAGTTAAGGAAGGAATTATGAACCACATGGCTTCCTCATGGGAGGTTCTTAGGACTGGAAGGGCCAAGGACTAGAAGTCAGAAGGCTCCCCTCTGGGTCCTAGTCCCAGCTCTGCTACTAAATAAAACCAGAGCAAATCCCCAGGCCTTTCTAACCCTCATTTTCCTTATCAGAAAAGGAAGGAAACAAACACTTTTACAATGCCTACCACCCACCGGGAACGATGCTAAACGCTTTAGAGTGTTGTCACTTGATCCTCACAATGACTTTGGGAGGTAGGTGCTATTATTACCTCATTTTACAGTTGAGTAAGACAGAGATTAAATGACTCACCCAGGGTCACACAACTAGGAAGTGTCTGAGGCCAAAATTGAGCTAATGTCTCCCTGACTCCACGGAGGCCCGTGGAAATATTCACCTAGCAGCCAATACCTACAGTAACAAATGTGCTTTGAAAAAGTAGAATATGCTGTAGAGATGATTCTTATCACCTCACCCCAAATCTTCAATTAGTATTCTCCTTCCATCATACTTCTGATACTTATTCCCCCTCTGTTCATTCATATAACTATCACCCTGGATTGAACCCTCATCACCCAGATCAGTGAGTGGGTCTCAATCTTTTAGGTCTCAGGTCTCAGGGACTACTTCATACTCTTAAAATTATTGAGGACTCCAAAGAGTTTTTGTTTATGCAGGTTATATTTTATTTTTATACATTTATTTATATTATTTAGATATTTGCCATATTTGTAGATTAATTGTAGTAGTAGTAATAATCACCAGCATGTATAAAGTACTTTAAGCTTTGGGAAATGTGCAAACGTTATCTCATTTTATTTTCACAACAACCCTGGGGAGATAGGTGTGATTATTTTCAGCATCCCCATTTTACAGATGAGGAAACTGAGGCAGGCAGTGAATTGGCAGATCAGGGATCTGAGCCCAAGTCCTCTTACTCCAAATCAATTCATTGCTCTTTCCACTGAGACATGATGCCTTCCCTGCCTCTGGTTTCTCCTTTCTCCAATTTGTCCTTTGTACAGCTGCCAAACTAATCTTCCTAATGCATTATCCTGTCCAAAAAAAAAACAAGAAACAAACAAAAACCCTTCAATCGTTCCCCTTAGGATAAGATGCAAATTCCTCAGCCTAGCATTTAAGTCCTTCCACAAGTTAGTTCCACCTTACATTTCTAGCTTAATTTCCCCACAATCCATATTGCAGCCAGCCTGGGCTATTAGCTGAACCCTGTCTTACTCTACCTGCTTCTCATGCATTCATCCGGGCCATCCTCTGGGCTTGGAAGGACGCCCTCTTCAGAACCACTTGTTAAAATCCTTCTCTTCCTTCAAGGTCCATCTCTTCCATGAAAACTTCCCCGATTCCCCCCAGATAAAAGCATCTTCTCTCTCCCCACCTATTTTCCAGTGTACTTGGTCTTCACCTGTCCTCGATTACTCTCATTACATCATACCTGTGTCTGTATATGTCACTGCACACCCTCATTTGCACACATACTTACACACATTGTGTAAAATATCTGCTCATAGCAGAAATGGAGCTCTGTCTATGTTATGGGTTTAAGGGTGAGGGGATCACTACCACCAAACAAGTCTCTCCAACAGCTTTATATCATATGAATTTGGGGCATTAAAGGTCCTAGGTAGGTAGCCCTGGAACCACCCTGACATTTCAGTATTAAAAAACACCAGAAGCCAAGTAGCAGCTAAAAGAATGCTAGACATTAGTTAGAAAGATTTGGGTTTAGTTTTGGCTCTGCCACTAGCTAGATGTGTGATGTTGGACGAGTCATTTTCTCTCTCTAGACCCCAGTTTTCTCAGCTGTAAAAGGAAGGACTATATGTTCTCAGAGATCCCTTCAATCTCTAATATTCTGTGATTCCATAATCAGACTTGAAATGAAGACTTACCTCAAAAAGCTAATCATGGGGTACCCCAGTTTCAAGCTCTCTGTCCACTAACAGGATCATTATTGTTTCCTCAGAAATCTGATCAGTGCAGTGACTCTAGGGTGTATGCCTGGAGTTCCTACAAGGTATTCTGGGGTTCCTTCATCGCCATTTTTATGAAGATATTGCAGGATTTAGGGTATTCTAGGCCCCCAGGGCAGGGTGTGGTCAGTGGCAGGGGAGGGCATTGCAACCTGACTAGGTGTTCACCTTTCATCCCAACCTGGGCTAGCTGGTTCAGTTTTTCTCTTCCATCAGCCTTCTCTGGCCCAGACCCCCTTCTCCTCCCAGCTCCCATATATAAATACTCCAAGAACTGGAAAGAAAAACCTGGTGGCATTTCAAAGACAGGCGCTGATGAAATATACTCTCTCTAAAGGCAACCCCGCATCTTTTGGTTTGGGGAAAATTTTGCTGCTACAGTGAGAGAGGTGACAAGGCCAGTAGCTGAGGCTTCTCATTCACGATGATATATGCCCATTTTTATCGTGCACTGTATGCAATGAGGATATTATCATTAGCCAGCTTAGCACATGCATCTGACACGTGAGGAAGTAGGAGGAAAAAAAAAAAGCAAGCAGTGGGGCAATTTGCCCCCAGGCTGTCTGACACCCTCCTTATTTCTTTGCTGGGGTGGGGAAGGAGGAGGTCATGCGCCAGGGAAGAGAGTTCTCCGCCCCCCCCCCCAACAATTTTATTTCCTGCTTCCCTAAGACTCTATTAATCACAGCGAGCGCGCCTTCCGCACAGCTGCTCTACCTCCGACTACTTCACTCTCATTTTCCACTGAGCAGGTTCTCATTCATTCATGATTGGTACTCAGCCCCAGTCCCATGCCTCCCGGGAGACCCACCCCATGCCTCCCGAACTGGAGTTTAGTATGCACGGGGAGGGGAGGTGTTGAGACTCAGCCCCACAGGCGGCTGGCTGCCTGGCTCGAACCATCATCGGGGACCGGAGTAAGGATTAGCCCGATGTGTCGATGGGGCTGAGCTCCAGTAAATATTTTGATGCATCTGCTTTCAGCCCTGGTCTGAGGGAATCTACCTGGCATTATCATTTGATGGGGAGCTGTTTTGAATGATAACAGAGCAGCTGCTTGTGTGAGTCAGTGCATGTGTGTTGACTGAAGAGGAGAAAAAAAAATCTCCAAACCCAACGTTTGCTGAATACCAAGCTGCAGTGTTGGCTGCTCCTTTTTCTTTTCTTTCTTTCTTTTCCTTTTCCTTTTTCTTTTTCTTCTTCTCCTTTTTTTTAGTAGACAAACCAAACTGATCTCTTTCTAAAAGAGGGGGAGGGGTGGGGGAGGGAGGAGAACCAAAGTCACACACAAGTACCAGTGATCATGGGGGCTGTGATGGGCACCTTCTCCTCTCTGCAGACCAAACAAAGGCGACCCTCCAAAGGTAAGCGTCTCTCCTCCACTACCTTTTGTTCCTTTGAGCTGTGTTTTGGGAGCTGGAGTGCTGCAAAGGGGACCACCATGTGCAATAACCCGTATATATGGAAGTGAGGGGCAAGTGTGGTCCCCTGAACAGAAGCAAGATTCCCTGTGAATTCCGGGGAAAGAAACAGCACCGAGGGAGCTCAGGTTTTGCCTAGTTGTGGTTGTGATACACCTTTGGGGTTTACCATGACATTCTTGGCCATGTGTATGGGGGACTGACAGGTGCTGCCAGAGCCCTACCTTCAGTTAAATCATAAGAGGGAGAGGAAAATGCCAAATGAGGAAGGGAAAGGCTGAAAGTCTGCCAAAACAGAGATTATGGGGTGGAAATTTTAAAGAATAAATCAATACGTTTGAAAACCTCCTGGTTCCCATGACATCTCAGAGTGTCAGCTATACACAGGGACCACACACATGTCTATGTTAGCTCTAGACATAGGAATCCCAGCGGGGGAAAGGAGAGCTTCCGTCTGCAAACCAAAACGAATTAGCTGCCTGGTGGGATAAGATGCTCAGAGCTCCTGTTCCGCCCATCTCAGGAAGTCAGTAGCAAGCAGGTCAAGTAGAGGCTTCATTTCTGCCTCATCTGTACATGGGGCTTAACGGAAAGCTTCAGGGGGTCCAGTAGGAAGTTAAAAGGGACAAGTGGGGGTGGGACTGAAAAATAAAGACAGTGGCCTGAGTCAAAAGCTCCCCCTGAACCTCAACTCCCTTGTCTCCCCAGAAACTTCTGTAGCTGTACCTCCTCAACTGGAGAGAGACTTTTCATTTTTTCTGTTCTTTTTTTGCTGAGTTTTCTTCTCTCTCTGGATGGGTGGCGTAAGGTGGGAAGTTGACAGGATCTTCCAGATGGAGCTGGGAGAAGCTCTTATCTTGTTTGAGTCCGGTTGGGGGGGCATCCATCTTGCCAGGGCCAAAGGAACCACATCACCGATATGCCAATATCTTTGTTGCAGTTAGAGACATGCAGAAGGAGGAAAGAGGATGCTGAAAAGTTTTTAGTTTTATTTTGTGTTTTTTAAATGGGTAAATGCTTACAAAGATTTTTCCAGAGGATTTGTTAGTGCCCATAACTTATACCCAGAGAGTTTTGTCAACTTTGTGACCATGATGAAATGTGGGAGTCAGTGATTTGATTAAGCCCTTAGCTCCACCCATGTGTTGATTAATGATGTTAACTAGAAGGAGACAATAAAGCACCCTTGGGTGCAGCATGAACTCTTTTAAAAATACCTTTGAAAAGATGTGCCTGCCTTATGTGACTCTCTAGGTATCATTTGAAAGAAGTCTCAGTCTTGCTGGGCTTTCTCCCTTTAGACAATTCTTTGCATTATTCAGAGATGATTTGACCAGTAAGGGCCCCGGGTGGCAGGTTTCTTGTGCCTGGTCCAGACAGCAGAGCTGTCGTATGAAGTTTGGTGACCTACATATAGGCTTTGGGTAAATGACCTGCTCTGGAAAACCTGTCCCCGGTACAATTAGACTGTAAGTGGCACCAGTTTGATGTTGGGTAGGGAAGCACATAGGACTGGGATTCTCACCCATCCTTTGAAGGCTAAGTTAAGTGAAGTCCAGCATGGAGTCAGAAGGAAGGAAAGTTGGAATTTGACAGGTGGTACCAAATACAGAATTACATAACTCAGTGTAATACTGTGATAACCAGCGTTGTGCACATAAGATGAGAGGATTGTAGATGGAGAGCTGGAAAAGACCTGAGAGGCCATTCATTTTACAGATGAGAAAAACTGAGGCTTGGTGAGGTTAAGTGACTTGCTCATGGTTGCATAGCTAGTAAGTGTCTGAGGTGAGATTTGAACTCCTATCTCTGAGTCACGCTCTGTCTTAACTGATGCCATGCTGCTTCTCTGTATAGGGGGACCTACACAAATATTTGATGAGATCATAGGACTCAGAGCTGGAAGGGACCTTAGAGCTTATCTAATCCAATACCCTCATTTTATGGATGGAAAACTTGAGACCCAGAAGAAGGGAGTGAATTTACCCAGAATCACACAGCTGGTAGGTGGCAAAACCCAAGATGCGAATTCTGGTCTTTGGACCCCAAATCTATTGGTCTCTCTGCCTCACCACAATGCTGATTTTCACATATTGAGTATATGAAATATACTTCATAGATCTTCATAGGTCACTTCCTGAGGACAGCAGAAACTCAATGTTAAAGAGGGAGTATGGGAAGCCAGTGGGACTTGTGAGCTTTTTTAAAGTTTTCCTTTTCAGTGGCTTCAATGGAACTTTGTCCCTTTCTCCTTCTTCCTCCTCCCCACCCCCATATAAAATTCTAGGAAGAGGTAGCTGTGGGACACTGGATAAAGAGCTGGCCTCAAATCAGAAAGATCTGGGTTCTATTCTGGCCTTTGATATATATTGTCTATATGATCCTGGTCAAATCACTTAACCTCTCAATACCTCCAGGCATCTCTTTATGGTTGTAAAATAGCAGATGAGGCACCAGCCTGCATTGGAAAATGAAATTCTTCCCCAGAAACTTCCTCTACCAGTGAAATAATTGGTCTGATCCAAAAAGACTTGAATGAAGGTCCAGGAGGCCCTGGGTGATTTTCCCTGGGGTCCCATTGGGCTTTGCAGGAGACAGAAAAACTCCTGGTCTTTGTCCACAGGCTTTGAAGAAGCCACAGTTGGTCCTTTTCTCCTCTAACAGACCCCTATCTTCATGCCCCTCTGGTCATTCCTGCATCACACAAACTTCCTCAGTATAACTTTGTGTTACCTGCTTCTCTGAGCCACATTAAGGCTGGTGGGGCTCCACATCTATCCCTGTGAAGGGATTCTCAAGATGCTATGCCTGGTGTTTCAAGTTATGCCCTTGTCATAGTCAAATTCCTGGCATGCTGGTTACTGTGAGTCTGGGGACCTGTTTCAGGAACTCGGCTCCAACCAGAAGGTGACAGATAATCTTTACTGCCTTCTGCCCTGGGTAAGACATTGTCTGGAGTATTGCGTTCAGTTTATGGAGCCACATTTTAGGAAGAATACCAAGAAGCTGGAGCATGTCTGGAAGAGAACCAGGATGGTAAGAAGCCTGGAGGCCATACTGTTATAAACAGTTCAGTTAAAGGAACTGAAACTATTCTCTGATGGAGAAGAGAAGACTTGGGGAGACATGATAGTTACTTCAAGAATCTGAAGGGCTGTCGTGGAATTTTGCTTTGTTTGACCCTAGAGAGGATAACTAAGAACACAGATTAGCAGCTTCAGAAAGAAAACAAACAAAAAGACAAAACAGATATTGATTAAATATAAGAAAAGAGGAAAAATCCTAATGATTAGAGCTATTCAAAAGTAGAGTTGCCTTCCTCAGGAGTCAATGCTTTCCGTCTCTCTAGAGGTCCTCAAGCAGAGGATAACTGACCTCTCTTAGGCAATATTATACAAGGGATTCCTTTTCAACAATGGTTGGGACCAGGCGCCCTCTGAGGCCCCTTCTAGCTTTGAGGCTGTAGGATTCTTTGGGTTAGTGTGACTTGGTCCTTCCTATTTTTGAAGTAAGAGGCCTAGAAAAGGGGTTCTTAATGTAAAGGTGGGAGGGATTGGGGTCTGTGAACCTAAAAAAATTTTTTGATGACTCAATAGAATTGATTATTTTTGGTAATACTTGGTATTTTACCTTATGCATTCAAAAACATTATTCTGAGAAAAAGTCTCATAGGCTTCACCAGATGGCCAAAGGGATCTATGACACAAAAAATGATTAAGAACCCCTGGCCTAGACAATCACTAATGGCATAACCCCTGAGCACTTCCTTCCAGAAACAACTTCCAGCTCCAACTTTCTGTGATTTGAACCTTAAAATAAAGCAGACACTGGCCTCACATGGATGTAGGATCTATTGCTGCATAGTTCCCACTGTGTACTGATGATGTCAGTCCACTGCCAGCTGACAGGCCTGCTACCTTGAGTTTTCCTTTTCAAATACATTAGGAATAGTTACATTACCCAAATTGCTTTCCTTTGGCACTGGTTGGAGCTACATGAGATGTTGAGGAGGGGGGTAGATATTTTGTGAATTATTTGCTCTGATTTTCAGCTTTTGGTGTCATCAAATACCCTCTCTCTTAGCCTTTTCATTATTTAGCCCAGATAATTCAAATGTGTTTACATTCATTTCCCTTACCTAATTTTGAGGATGCATTTGTCGTTTCAGAGTCCTTCGGGACTTTTATTCATACATCGTTTAGAATTGGAAAGTGCCACTCCGCTGGGTAACATTGGCTCATTCTGCAAATCCCAAGACCAGTTGTAAATTTTCAAAGGCCTGTTGTTCTCTCCTCTGAATATGCAAGTGTGGGGGGTGTCCATGGCACTGCAATGAAAAAGGAAATCAGATAGATGCTTTGCATATGTGTGAAAGTGAGCTTGCAGCCATGCATGCATGGGGGAGGGGCATGCTTAGGAAGAATTCTAATAGAATTGAGTCACAACAGATTTTTACAGTAAGCAACAGGAAATGACAAAGCAACTCTAGGCAACTTCAGATTCCTAGGGAATTTCAGGATCAAAGAAAAAAGAATCTGAATCTTGGAGGTGGAAGGGTTCATTAGACTCTTTCTAGCTTACCTTCCCCTCATTTTACAGGCTCAGAGAAGTTCAATGTTCTGCCCTATATTACACAGCTTTGAGAGAACTGAAATGCTGGGAATAAAGCTCCAGTCTCCTGATTCTCAAGCCAGTGGTCTTTCCTGTCCTGTCCAGACTAGTGTACCCTGAGAGCTCTTGGAAATGGGATTTTCCTCACAAAGTCTCTATCAAGGGCACTCGCTGCTTTTGAAGGACATGTTCAACTTAAAACACAGATTTCTTTCTTTCTCAGCTTCTCTGAGAATACAGCTTTGCCTGTATTCATTCACTCACTTGGCTGCATGGCATTTTCTCCTTACTAATAGACACCTCCCCCTCTTTAATGCTCCTGGAACTTCTAG